TCGCCATGCACCATAGACCAAGTAGTGTGCATATAGTATAACGCACTGGTTATATGAACGGCTAACACGGTTAAGACAGATTCCGAAAGATGGCGAGGGGGAGACTCTTCGGCTGACGGAATGGTGCTATTTTGGGGAGACAAGCTGTTGGCAGACATGCGATCCATTACAACCTCCGACGTATCCGTAGAACGCTGTGGGTGCAAGTAGTTAAAAAGACTGCCGCCAAGGCAATATTCGAGTTTCAAAAATATGGAGTCTGCTTCAAACCAGGAGGAGAAATATCGTACTATGTTGGGGTGTTGAAGAAGTGCCAGTGCTTGAACCTCGTTGAATATTTCGGAAATAGTGCCACCATGAGAACGTTCAAGTTCAAATTCGCAACGGGACCTCTTAAGACAGTAAAGTACTCCACTCAGCCGATGCCGTCCTTTATACAAAACTGCCAGTTGAGTTCTAGATAACTCTTCCAGTGAAGAAAAAGAACCGACCAGACTAAAGAGTTATGGAAATGAAAATGGAATTTCGAAAGGCTTACCACGTGCAGTTAAAAATTGGGCTCAACATTTTAGACAAACTTTCTGGTCTTTTGAAGCCATGACGTGATTTAGAAATGAAACGGTTAGGTGTCTGATTGTTCATGACTTCGGGGCACACTTCAGAGAAGCGGAGTATTCGGTCGACGCTTGAAACTGTTTGTTGGCTAATTGAAGCATAAGCTTGCATGTTCATATCATCCACAATGACATTTCTCCTACGATAGTCCTGCACTTGCTCTTCAACTTTCGGTTTTGTAGTCTCCGATGCAAAGAGCAAGCGGGGGCTCATTGATAAATTTGCAGAAGTACTCAAACGATTAGAGAGATGAGCCGCCCGCAATTCAAGTGTCTTAGCATAAGAAAGACTGTGTTGTAGATGATCGCTCAAACATGAAGTATTCATGGATAGCCGAGCAGAAATGTCTTCCAACGAGAGGGATGTGTCTGGCGAAGATTCGTCTGACAACTTGAGGGCCTGAGAAGGCAAAGGAACAGTAGGTGCGTCTAATTCTAGCGGGGAGTTCTTCAGTCCTGCAATTCTGAATCTTGGAGCTGCTGGTGAACTATTTTCCGTAAAACTGTCTACAGAGAGGTCAGCATCAGAGTCCTTCCCACCAGCAGTCATGCTGTCAAAAAGAGATCGCGGCGAAATCGCGAATCCGTGTCGCAAATACGCGGGAGTAGACGATGATGGTGAATGCATGCCAAGTGCTCTTTTCGAACGCTTAGACTGCATTCCTAAGAAGTGTCTATGCAAAAAAGATCTAAAAGTTGCCGACAGTAACTTTACGCTAAGATCACAAATTTAAAAGAGTTGCCCGTTTCTGATTGGTTACATACATTTTAATACTTGTGCTTAATTTCAAGATCCATGTTTCATGTTTCATCAATAGAAGGTAGGGAACGGATCCAGCAGGCATCCGGATGGATTTTCGTTCCGAATAATCCTGGGTGATATCATCTCTTTCGGTTTAAAGTAATTTTTTTGAATTTTGACGTTTTTCGGGAGAGATCGGCAGTAAAATGTATGTCTAGTGGATCGAGTAGCGACCGGCAACCCATGAAAATGTGACGGCTCGGTGTGAACTCATGTATGGCAAAAGACTCCATTAATTCCGGGTCCAAACTGAAAAGATGTTAGAGTGAGTAAAAAAGTGGCTGCATAAAGGAATAGTAAGTCTAAAATATGGGCTGAGCAAGGATTAAGACTAAGAAATCGTCAGAATAAGTTAAGTCGTGATACAATCAATAAAGGATTAAATAAGTAAACGAGGCAGGTAATCCCTAATAGCAATGTTCTAGTACCAAAGATTCTACTGGTCCCAGGTCGGACTAAGGGATCTAGGCGAATAGGCCTCTAGAGCCTTTGATACTAGTTTGGCGTGATTGCGTATATGGGCGGTATTCCGTGCGTTGGCTGTGTGAGGTTAGAAGTCGTCATTGAAATCGATGGTCGAACACACACACACACAAGACCCCCCACAAATACGGCGCCTGGGTCGATGTCTTGCTTTGGCAGCTTTTACCGGCGTATGCCTAAGGTGAAAACCCCATGTTCAGATCAGACTAAATGCATTCTAAAAGGGGGTAGGGGGGGTAAGGGGCGACTGCGTGCATCAAGTGCACTCTGAGCAGGCTCGGTTAAGCCGAACGTGTAGACGTAGTTTTTAACTTGCTGTCTGACAACCTTCTCAAACGGTGAACGGTGGGGGGGAGGGGTCTTGTGTGTGTGTTCGACCATCGATTTCGATGATGGCTTGTTACTTCCCCCAGTAACGCACGGAATACCGCCCAAATACGCAATCACGCCGCACTGGTATCAAAGGCTCTAGGGACCTATTTGCCTAGATCCCTTGGTCCGACCTAGGACCAGTAGAACATTTGGTTGAAAGTGCTATGACAGTAGTAGAAACCACTGCTTTCATCTGTCATTTACTCTATCAAAATTGATAAGATCCTGTCTAAATATTATCTAGTCTGGGTAGAACAAAAGCAAGCAATTTTGACGATACAGACTAAAACGTTTGGATTCTGGCTGCCAAACTCCTGAAATTATACCACTTTTTGGGAAGATTATATTTTTCGTTATTAGCATCCAAACAATTATAAATAAGAGTGTCTTTTTGACACAGGTCGGCAGGCAAAAAATGGCATGTCGACAACTTTTGCTTAAATTCGAATATTTCCTTGAGCAAGACAAAACACCGGCAACGCTTCTTATTCCATTAGATAAAATGTTGGATACTTAATCCTATTATTGTCCGCTGAAGATAAACGGCAAACTTCAGATCTACCTTAAAAGTCAAGACAAGATGTGGAAGCATTCTTGACTAACACTTGCAGGAATACAAACATTTATGGGATTATAGCCGACTGGCCGTTTCCTTTCTTGGCACTTCGTATGATAGGGGACTCCTGTGGCTTGTTACTGGCTGACTGGCCCTCGACAATAGGAACGTCCCGAGATTTACCATAAACTCGTTCGTCCAGGATCCATATACTCCACCCAGTTACCTGATGAATGTAACAGTCCAAGAACGTAATAAGGCTAAGGAAAGTATATTAAAGGTATAACGGGGTAAATGGAGACTGACTAAAATAATACTGGGAGCTTCCTATTCACACGAAAAATCTCAAAGAAGATTAACTTTAACACCAGTGTATATGAAAAATGTGGAGTTAACATCAGCGATATGTATGAGCCAGACGCAAACTGTCGCAATGTTCATTATGTGTACAACAATTTCTCAGCGAATGAGAATCGAGTCTGCATTTAAATTTCGCAACAGCTTCTGAAAGAAACAGCTCGCCAGGGAGTCTGTCCCACGCTCCACCGACCCTCCAAAGAAGGCGTTCCGCCGAACGCCCATATGGGCCAGGTTCCACTGCAGTTTAACGAGATGATCCAGCAGATGGTCCATCCAAGCCAATTCGAAGAATGGTCTCTGGCTTTTTGGGTAGTTGGGGTGAGGTCGCCGCTTAGTTTCCTGTGATTAAGAGGAAACATATGCAGTTCAGCCAATCTATCTTCGTAAGGCAGGTGACCAAGATTCTTGACCATCTTCGTAGCCCTCGCCTGCTTTCGTTCCAGGTAGGGATAATCCTTCTTAAACCAGACCTGGACGGCATATTAAAAGTGGGGCCGAACCAAAACTCCATAGGTTTTTCTGAGCAGTTATGTACAGATCTGGATATATCCTAGTCTTAGCGCAAACAACACCTATGTCTTGCGTTTAGCTGCCTTAGAACACTGTAAAGATGGTTTAAGCGAAGAGTTTATTAGAACACCCAGTTCCTCCTGTTCATCAAAATTTGAAAGGATGTGCCCACCGAATAGTTATTGGAGGGAATCGTCCTAACCATTGGTCATTTAATACAGAGCCTTAAACCACATACTTATGAACCGAGCAGCTGCTAAGTCAGTTGAGACTCCGTAGTGGCTATGTAGCTCTAATTCTTCCCAGCACGTTATGACATACATGAGGTCATGTGATGGAAAACGGTCGCCCGGTCTCGTTTGTTGCAAGCTACGTCAACGCTCGATCCCCCATGACGGCGAGTTAGTATGTGCGCGCACACATTTTGACTTCCATCACTTTAGAGCAAATA